TACCTATCTATAAGGCAATAAATACAATACTTTACATTCTAACTATTTGTGAAGGCGGTGGGAAAAATCTCTCTATTATGAGAAAAATTCATATATTCGCAACAACTGGCAACATCATTCATTCGTTTGGCTGACATATAAATATTCTTACATCGCAAAATGTGCAACATTTGTTAGCGTTTTCAAAGCACGGGACGCGAAAATGTTCAAAAGCAGCGCCGGCTTGAGTTGTTAGTCTCTAACACTGCTTCACAATCATAATTATTAATGATATTAACGCTTTTAAAGGATCAACATTGCATTTATTCCTGTTGATATCATATGTTCCAGCACGCGAGTCTAGGGGATTTATAATCGATTTACACAACAGCCAAAATCTACGCTATTAGACAACAACCTATCATGACTGCGCTATGCTATATATCACTCTTTTCTTAGCCTAATTAGCTTCAATATTACACTATCTACTAATTTACTGTCTCAAAGCGATAGTGTGCTGTACTTCCATATAAAACTTCGAATCTATGTGGTGATATATATGCATGTGAATACAATTCAGAACTGGAGCATCAAATTATATTATTCTACTAGTATTCAAATTGAAAGTAGATATGAGCATAATCTCATGAAATGGGTAAAAAGTGAATTAAATATACAAAAAGACACAATAACCTGTCAACGCCAGTAGTAAATGGGGCTAGTATGGGTTCACCGGGCTTTAATCGTTTAAATTTAAATTTCGATCATTCTCAAATTCCATAGTTATCCAAGAAAAAAAAACAATAGAAAATTCTTGAATATCGTAGAAAATTAAATGCTCCTAGAAACTACAGTAAATATAGCTTAGGTTGTTTAGACAGACTCGCCGAAGTAGACACAAATGATCAATAAACATAAACCGATGAATCATTTCTATATTATCAATAGCATATATTCAAATTGTGAATTTACATGAGTAATATTTATTTACTCGGTACAATAATTCTATCGCAGTATCAATTTAATAAAACTCGTTAGTCGTTACATTTTATTTTTTATTCAATTTGTAAAAACAGTTCCGTACGCATTTATAACTTAGGCTGATTCAAGGAATTTGTATCACATATTTGCGAAACAATAAACAAGTTCATGCTACCCTACTACTCTTTTTCAGATGATGCCATGTGTTGAAGGTATAGAATAAATACCTCGGAATAACTTGGAATAGATTAGTCAGATATGAAAAACTATCTGAAATTTTCTACTTCTGCCGTAATGTTCAGTACTCACGTATCGGTTGTTGTCATTCATCTCATAAATTTGGTATAGTAATAAGTAAAAATTAGAGATAGTGATGGATCGGTAGGGTTTATGAGGTAAGAGAGGTGACATATTTATCTGAAGATTAAACCTAAACGGTTGAGTGACGTTCAGAGTTGCTGCAATGCGAAAATGCATACGCGTGCAATTGTATCATAATATGTAATAAATGTATCGCGTACATTACAAGATGGAGCTGCACAAAAGTAATTCATTTTTGCCTTATCTGTTACATATTTATTTACACTTAGATAATATATTCCTAAACTAAGTAAGACTTGCTAAAGTAGAGCTAAAATTAGATCCAAATGCCATACAATTGTAATGAACTATCAACTGCATCAAAATAACTTATTCATTCCAGAATTTCCCCTGAAAATAAAAGGGTGGTGTGGCGATGTGAATGTGCCTACCATCCTTATTTATTATCTGGTGGTAGTCCAGCCGCAGCTTAGAATGGGAAATTTGAAATGATTGAACTGGTAAGATATTGTCTTACTTTAAAGTGCGGTCATAGTTTTTGGTATACAGCAAGTAATTCCCTTAATGTTCTGTAGTTCGATTGCTTGATAAATATCGCTCGTTTTCTTTACATGGTGACGTGACCAGTAGGCAACCCACAACAGGCATCAGTTGAAGGTTTTGTTATTTATGCACAAAAATTATATATTTTATATCAAACTGCCTTTCACACATAAAAAATATTGATAGTTTAATAAACTTTTATGATGTACTAAGGTACTTTTGCCAGGCCCTGGCACTGGACAGCAAATCTTGCACAGATATGCCCTAATAAAAACGGTCAAAGATAACTTGCTTGGGTATCTGAACGCTGAATGGCTGAGATAATAAATAGATTTTGTTCAGTCTGGGCTCCTCTCGTTTTCTGTTGGAGCACGAATTTTTGTTTTCAAGATCATTTATGTTGGACAAATTAGATTAACTTCATTCAACGTATTAATTCAGTTAATAAAGAATTAAGTAGTACTTTATTACTGCATGTAGTACATATTACGTATAGTACATATTGAGTGACTGCAAAGTGTTGCTATTGTCATTTTCTCACTAGTCCAATTTCGGGGGATACTGTGAGAAAATAGATCGCGTAATGGCGCTGGTAAACTTTCAGTTGCGTAATTTTCCAGTAACTGCATAGAATTAATTCTTGAGTTGATCAACAAACTCACAATATAGAAACGGGCAACATTCCCTGCATTGTTTTTTTTGCATTATGATGACGCTTGTCCAGCCTGAATGATTTGATAATTATAATTGGATTCTGTAATTTTATCATGTTACCCATCGATTTTATAAAATCTTTAATTGTTATAAAGAGATGATAAAAAATGTAACTGACTCATTTATTGTCAGACAAAATAATTTAAAAATCAATGTTCATGAAAAATTGTGAGAAAAGTCTAGTTCATTTTTCAAATTAGTTTATAGTGTTCTGTCAATTTTATTTACAAAAGACTACGAGAATATTTTGTGCCCATCTCGATTCCTGTGCTTATATACTTTGTTCGTAATACAATACTTTCTTGAATTATTTGGAGCCGCAAGGCAAATTGCCGCAGTAAGAGTTAACGAAGATGAGACTCGCGCCTTAGATGTCAAATATCCTCTGACAGGCCTACAATGTGACCCGCTTTCTAACGATTACGAGACTGTGACTCTGTATTATAAGTTCCGCGTGCCAAATTTATTTTTAACTCCATTAAAAACGAAACTTAATCAACTTTCCTTTTCAAACTGGGAATAAATTAGTTGTAAAAAATGATTTGTTGTGAAACTTCTCTTTTCTTGGTAGAAAATCTACCTGAAAAAAATTTTTTTTTTGTTTTTGGTAGAAAATCTATCTGAAAATACATTGTTCAGATTCAATAAACTATCAGAGCATTAAACTATCACCAGAGCTTGCTACGGTCACCTCAACTCAGAACAGTGCGTCACACCTCATATACGATGCAGCTCTTCTTAACGAATCTTAATAACATTAAAAATAAAATTTAATATCACTTCACGGCACATTTCATCCATCTATAAGTTCAGAGATTATTCGCTTATCCTTCCACCCACTTGGAAAAAGAAGTTTGTAATTACTGCCAATAAACGCGCAACAATGATCGCAACGGTTCCATCGCCATATTCTACTGCCGTAGCGTTTTCCTCAGAGGATAAAGGTTTAAATTTAAAACCAGCAATACTTCATTTCAAATTATTACTTTCGACCAGATATTCTGTTTCCTCACCGCATTCACTGAACAAACGCTAAAAACAGACAATAGCTGTAGACACTAACTATGCTATTCATAATTTCAGCAACAGAATAGCTTAATATTTCGGGGTCGGCAGACCTGTATATTAATGCACGTCATTGACGTAGTTAATATCTCCAACGGAATTTAAATGATTATACCATTTAATAATATAAAATGAAGGTTTTGCTCCTGTATCCGGCGTCTAACTTGCATTTCGGTGTCTATTTTTCTATGTTCTCTTAGTCACCGTTTGCTGTTTCAAAGTTATCCCAGTCGGAAATAAGGACTTGGATATTTTTTGTTAGTATTTATCTTCCTTCATAAAATTACATGTATTCTATACAACTACTAAATGACAGTTCTAAAACAACTCGCAATGTTCCTCGTCTCACAACTGGTGAAAAGTTTATAAAATATAATATCACAAATTCTCTTCTTACTTATTACCATTTTAGACGAATGAATTTAGCACATAACCTCATTGCCAGGCATTCATCAATGTACTACATTATCTGCGTTGTTAGTTTACTCGACACTCAACATGCTGTTCGCTTATGAGTAATAATACCTTCGACGCTTCGAGGTCATGTTGTGATGATAGCTTAGTTGGGGCCCTGACATACTGACAGATTTTTCACTTAGTTTCAAGTTTTCAGTAAAAACGTATATATAACAATCACACTCGCCTTGGAAAAAATAAAAAAAGTAATAGATATAGTCGATTTTCTAATATGAAATACTGGCAGCGTGGTGGAATACCAAGTAATGTTAACTGCAGAAATTGTTGCGCTCCCTCAATACCAAATATAGGTTATAAAGGAAAAATATGTCGAAATATAATGTAGACTAAGGAGCTCGTAAGACTCGACATTTCCTGAAATTACTCGTGCACAATTGGTATACAGCGTAAATTTTGTCTGGTAAAAAAGTCAGTAACTCGCCCAAGGCCTCCTTAATAAAGAATTTTTTTAATTGAGTTACAATCGCCCCACGCCACTGATGGGACAGCCGCTGCATCTGCATTTGTTGTTGCATCCTTCAGGCGCTTCTCTCCGTAGCAGCAATTCGGAACGGAACAGAATAACGGAGTAGGTCATTCCTAACTCATAGAAGCGTGTATATGTACAGTTACTTTTGATGAGTATAATACTAAAGGGTTATCAGGAAAGTTTTTAGATAAATCCTGAAAATTCAAAATTTAATGAGCAATTAACCTAGAGTGCGAAAAATTTCCCTTGTGAATAACAGGCAAATATTCTTTCTATACATGAATTCTTCCTCATATTGAAGTTAAGAAGTTGTTTATGTTTATTATTACAAATTCAGTCGCTCTGCTCCTTATGGAGTTGCTCTTCAGGCTCTATGTATGATTGCGTTCCACTGACAAGTCGCTCACTTATTTATTGGCTCTTAATATGAAGAAAGGTCTTACCGACTCAGGCCACTGCCATCACCGGGCCACCATTCAGGACGACCGTCATCGAGCTACCATTCAGGACGACCATCATCGGGCTTCCATTCAGGACGACCATCATCGGGCTGCCATTCAGGACGACCATCATCGGGCTACCATTCAGGATGACCATCATCGGGCCACCATTTAAGACGACCATCATCGGACTACCATTCAGGACGACCATCATCGGGCCACCATTCAGGACGACCATCATCGGGCAACCATTCAGGACGACCATCATCGGGCCACCATTCAGGACGACCATCATCGGGCCACCATTCAGGACGACCATCATCGGGCCACCATTCAGGACGACCATCATCGGGCCACCATTCAGGACGACCATCATCGGGCCACCATTCAGGACGACCATCATCGGGCCACCATTCAGGACGACCATCATCGGGCCACCATTCAGGACGACCATCATCGGGCCACCATTCAGGACGACCATCATCGGGCCACCATTCAGGACGACCATCATCGGGCCACCATTCAGGACGACCATCATCGGGCCACCATTCAGGACGACCATCATCGGGCCACCATTCAGGACGACCATCATCGGGCCACCATTCAGGACGACCATCATCGGGCCACCATTCAGGACGACCATCATCGGGCCACCATTCAGGACGACCATCATCGGGCCACCATTCAGGACGACCATCACCGAGCTACCATTCAGGACGACCATCATCGAAAATGAAATATGCTCAAGTTGCGTTCACTTAATTGACTGTTAGATTTGGCTTACGACTAATAACTTTTTATAGAAATTCACCGTCATAAACACGTATAAATTGGCAGTTGAATTATGTTGACCTCTCAGGAGCTAATATAATAAGAGCGTATTAGCCTGGCCTTGCGTATCAACCTGGCTTTGCGTATCAACCTGGCCTTACTTTCAAGAAGGCGATGAGCAGCACGGCCGAGATGATGCTCACGATGCCCTCCACCAGGCCTATGATGGTGCGGAGGCCGTCTTCTGCAAAATTGCTTGCTTTGAAGTCAAAACTAACATGTAATTTAAGCCTGGAACATCTCAGCACGAAGCGCTTCGTTATAAGAAAATTCCATTTATAAAATTATATTATTTAATTACGTTTTTAATATAAAGTGATTATCAAATAGCACTCCATGAGACAACTTTCCCTGTTGCTATCAATCAACGATCATTTTTGATTCAATCACATTCCCATCCTCTAGAAATGAAATAATCTTTGAGTGAGAAGAAACGGTCAAAATACACACAGAAGTCATCAAAATACTCAACACCGAATATATTTGCGCCATAAAACCCATGACATTGCTGAGTCGGCAATCAGAATCGCTGGTTCTGAATTGAGACAATCAAACAGTTTACCTGCAGAAATAAAAATTATTGTGAAACTGGATCGAGGAAGAGTACTTTCGAATTGATCTCACATGTTTCAAACATGTAGCAAGCATGAACAGCAAGTGATCTCACATGTTTCAAACATGTAGCAAGCATGAACGGCACGTGATCTCACTTGTTTCAAGCATGCAGTAGTGTAAGAGGTTGCTTTTCTGGTGCACCTCTTATATGTATAATAATTATATGATAGGCCTGAGGTTAGTTCGGGTTTAGTTTGTGATCAGGGGATAATTGAGGCACAGAGTAAAGAAGAACAGAGTACTTATTTATAGAGTAACACAGCTTACACTTTATGGGATTACAGATAGAAGTGTGTGTTTAACACATTTGTCTACGCTCACGACTCGAAGGAAAATGAATCGACGAACCAATACTCGGCAGCTCTCGGTCTTGACTGACGCTTCTCGTTCTGTCAGAGCGCCATATCGCGTTCCGTGAGTGACCTCGTTACTGATGTAGACAAAAGAACGATCCTATCTAATTTCGGATGGCAGCTATTAATTCACACCTTACTGTAGTGGAAGTGATCGTTTTGCATCGTGCCATAGAACCCCAGTATGTATATGCCGAATATCTGAAACAAAGATTGTGTAATCAATTAAAGATTCAGCTAAATGTTTTAGCAAGAAAGGATAGATAAAATTATCTTTAATAGTGTGAAGTTTACAAAGAAGGATTATCGTTGGTGACTAGATTTTACCAATGGGCACATAGCAAATAGACAACTTCTTCTTTCACCGTCAAATAAAAAAAAAAGTAGTCACAAGTTTATGAACGCCCACGTCAGTTCAGTTTCAGCTCTCACATCTAGCAAACCAACTAAATCTTGAGTCCCCAAGTTTTAATACCACTCGGCTTCCATTAAAAACATATGCCAACTATCCGAATACTCGTAGAAAACGAAAAATGTTACCCATCCGCCGTTATCATAAAAAACCTGTTAGGTTATTTCAACCATGTTCAACCTAAGCACCCGATATGACATTTTTCTGCCGCTATTCTCAATGCCCAGACTTCGCCAGCCGCTTGACGCAGTCGGCACACGCAGAACCAAGCATTTAAATCACAAACCTTTCGCTATAAGTACTTGTCTGGTAGTTCTCAGCACTTGTTAACAGCGGCATTTTAGATGTTCATATTTTTCTACGTTACTTTTGGTACTCACGAGGTCAAGCACAGCGAGGACGGCTCCACCGATGACCTCACACCGCAACGACCTCATCCTTCTCATGCCTGAAATAGGGAATAAATTATTGTTTTTAGAATCGTAGTTGATACTTAAGTTGGTTGCATCTTCAAAAGGTTATTTTCAAGTGTATATTCTAATTGTAATGAAATGAACCGAATTTGATAATGTAGTAAGTATTTTTCAGAAATATGATGAAAATCGCTGATGTAAACTAAAAAATTACTCACAGAGATTCATGAAAACACTAGTTATGGTCGCGTGGGTTGAGTCAAGAATCTCCAGCTGCGTGGAGTTCGAGTTTTGTTTAGTACACCGCAACCGATGCCTTGCGCGTGACGCTGCATATCAAGCCGCAACTCGCAGCACTTAAAGAACAAATGTTCAAAAAAACACCTGCGTGTATGTGTATATCTACTCTCGCCTGGTAGTTTTTAACGGTAAGCAGAGTCGAATGACTACCAACAAGCACTGAACCATGTTAACTAATAATATACAGGATGTCAATCGTTCGATTTCAGTAAAAACAAGCAAGTTTCTTCTTCATATGATTATTTAGCGAATGTAATTAGTACATGGCTTGGAGGACCACGTTCACTTGCACGAACTATTTTAGATGCGTCGCAAAATGTGCAACATTTGTCAGCGTTTTCAAAGCACGGGATGCGAAAATGTTCAAAAGCAACGCCGGCTTGAGTTGTTAGTCTCTAACAGTCCTTTAAAATAACTCACATTGTGATAACGCTTCTAAAGGATAAACATTGCATTTATTCTCTTTGATATCATATGTTACTCCCCGCGAGGCTTGAAAGATTAATACTCGATTTGTAATACAGCAATAATTAACGATTTAGACAACAATCTATCTTGCACCCTCCTTCATATCATGTACCTAATTAGCTATTGAACTTATAGATGGATGGATAGATAATATATAGATGGATAGATAATTAGGCTCATCTATTATGAGCCTAATTAGCTTCAAAATTAGAAGTAAAGACATTATTTAGCTATTTATAACGAGGAGTGTGCTGTGATACCGTATGAAACTTCGGATCAATGTGGTATACATCCATGCGAATAATATTCAGAACTGCAGTATTGAGCTATCTTAATCTAACAGTACAAAAATTCTGAGTAATCATTCAAATGAATCGCAAACATGGAAGAAAAAGCGAATTAAATATACAACTAAGATGTAATTACCGATAAATTCCTCACGTATAAGAAAGGGTAACTAAACCAATTACAATAATATTAAGCAAGAAATTTTTCGGTACGCAACACGTTTCCGGAAGAAAACCTTTACTGGCTTTACGTAATCTTTATTTCCGTTACATGATAATTTAACTTCATTACGATATTTAGTATTATTTTTATTATTCTACGAGGCCTTCAAATGAATCAATATACTTGCACGAGGCCATTGATCTCATGAGTCATGAGCAGCCCTCGCTCGAGAATTCACGACGTCATTCCTGACTCGAGAAAGCTAAGTTATTTTACATGTGGCGAATAAGTTCATGCACTCACACACGCAACACACACTCACAGCAGATAGGCATGTTCCATCTGTAGGTGCCATTTACTTGAGAGCTGTGAAAACAGGTGAAATTTTCATCATTCTGAAATTCAGTAGTTATCCCTGGAGAAAGGAGAAAATTTTTGCATGGCGTAGAAAATTGAATATCATCATAAACTATAATAAATGTTACTCATGTGGAATGGTCAAAGTTGTCGAAGTAGACATAAATGAATAATAAACATAAACGACTGAATGATTTATATATAATCAATAGAATATATTCAAATTCCGAATTTATATGAGTAATATATATTTACTATCTACAATAATTCTAATGCATTTATGGTAATTAAACTCGTAATATTTGATTTAATATATTCTGTTATATCTACCTACCTATTTAGAAGGCAATTGATACAATACTAAATTTTCTAACTATTTGTGAAGGCGGTGAAAAATTCTCTCTATTACGAGAAAAATTCAGATATTAGCATCAACTGGCAACATCATTCATTCATTTTACTGACATATAAATATTCTTACATCGCAAAATGTGCAACATTTGTCAGCGTTTTCAAAGCACTGGATGCGAAAATGTTAAAAAGCAGCGCCGGTTTGAGTTGCTGGTCTCTAACACTGCTTCACAATCATAATTATTAATGATATTAACGCTTTTAAAGGATCAACATTGCATTTATTCCTGTTGATATCATATGTTCCAGCACGCGAGTCTAGGGGATTTATAATCGATTTACACAACAGCCAAAATCTACGCTATTAGACAACAACCTATCATGACTGCGCTATGCTATATATCACTCTTTTCTTAGCCTAATTAGCTTCAATATTACACTATCTACTAATTTACTGTCTCAAAGCGATAGTGTGCTGTACTTCCATATAAAACTTCGAATCTATGTGGTGATATATATGCATGTGAATACAATTCAGAACTGGAGCATCAAATTATATTATTCTACTAGTATTCAAATTGAAAGTAGATATGAGCATAATCTCATGAAATGGGTAAAAAGTGAATTAAATATACAAAAAGACACAATAACCTGTCAACGCCAGTAGTAAATGGGGCTAGTATGGGTTCACCGGGCTTTAATCGTTTAAATTTAAATTTCGATCATTCTCAAATTCCATAGTTATCCAAGAAAAAAAAACAATAGAAAATTCTTGAATATCGTAGAAAATTAAATGCTCCTAGAAACTACAGTAAATATAGCTTAGGTTGTTTAGACAGACTCGCCGAAGTAGACACAAATGATCAATAAACATAAACCGATGAATCATTTCTATATTATCAATAGCATATATTCAAATTGTGAATTTACATGAGTAATATTTATTTACTCGGTACAATAATTCTATCGCAGTATCAATTTAATAAAACTCGTTAGTCGTTACATTTTATTTTTTATTCAATTTGTAAAAACAGTTCCGTACGCATTTATAACTTAGGCTGATTCAAGGAATTTGTATCACATATTTGCGAAACAATAAACAAGTTCATGCTACCCTACTACTCTTTTTCAGATGATGCCATGTGTTGAAGGTATAGAATAAATACCTCGGAATAACTTGGAATAGATTAGTCAGATATGAAAAACTATCTGAAATTTTCTACTTCTGCCGTAATGTTCAGTACTCACGTATCGGTTGTTGTCATTCATCTCATAAATTTGGTATAGTAATAAGTAAAAATTAGAGATAGTGATGGATCGGTAGGGTTTATGAGGTAAGAGAGGTGACATATTTATCTGAAGATTAAACCTAAACGGTTGAGTGACGTTCAGAGTTGCAGAACCAAGCATTTAAATCACAAACCTTTCGCTATAAGTACTTGTCTGGTAGTTCTCAGCACTTGTTAACAGCGGCATTTTAGATGTTCATATTTTTCTACGTTACTTTTGGTACTCACGAGGTCAAGCACAGCGAGGACGGCTCCACCGATGACCTCACACCGCAACGACCTCATCCTTCTCATGCCTGAAATAGGGAATAAATTATTGTTTTTAGAATCGTAGTTGATACTTAAGTTGGTTGCATCTTCAAAAGGTTATTTTCAAGTGTATATTCTAATTGTAATGAAATGAACCGAATTTGATAATGTAGTAAGTATTTTTCAGAAATATGATGAAAATCGCTGATGTAAACTAAAAAATTACTCACAGAGATTCATGAAAACACTAGTTATGGTCGCGTGGGTTGAGTCAAGAATCTCCAGCTGCGTGGAGTTCGAGTTTTGTTTAGTACACCGCAACCGATGCCTTGCGCGTGACGCTGCATATCAAGCCGCAACTCGCAGCACTTAAAGAACAAATGTTCAAAAAAACACCTGCGTGTATGTGTATATCTACTCTCGCCTGGTAGTTTTTAACGGTAAGCAGAGTCGAATGACTACCAACAAGCACTGAACCATGTTAACTAATAATATACAGGATGTCAATCGTTCGATTTCAGTAAAAACAAGCAAGTTTCTTCTTCCTATGATATTTAGCGAATGTAATTAGTACATGGCTTGGAGGACCACGTTCACTTGCACGAACTATTTTAGCGTGAGGGGAGTTGCATAACAGAACGGGCCTGCGCAACACATTTGCTGTAACATTTCCGTGGTACCGCATTTTCATGTAGCATTTTTAATCGGCTGCCTTGTACTCTTACAGCCAGTGTACACTTAAGCTGTGTCTCCCACTGGCATGCAATTTGGGACAAGGGCACCAATAAAGCAATTATTGCTCAATTTCATATTCTACAGTCGGAAATCTACTGAGAAAATGCTGTTTTTTGGATCGATACGACATCCTGATCAAATCAACGTATAGATTCAAAGTAGCTTTTTTAATTTTTTCCTTTTAAACTTCTGAATTTTCAGGATGGATCGAAACGGAGGCATATCAGGCAAAGAACACCGTTTTTCTACACCTAAACTTTACGTTACCCGTTGGAGCACGTTCAGGCTATAGGTGTCGCAACTACTCTATCCGATCCAGTTAACTTGGAAGCTGGCCAACGGGTCAATACAAATGTGCCTTGTTAGTGTGCCGTCAACATCGCGGTCAACTTTGTGGGTAGAACTCAAATATACTCCCTAGCTAAAGCCAATTGAGATCAAGCGCTTAATTTCAATGCATTTATAATCTTACCTTATGAATGGCTAATGTTATACTTGAGAACATAGATTAGAAACATCGCTTGAAGGTACCTTCTTTACTCCACACGTAATGTATCTTCTGATAAATTTTGCAAACTGATTGTATATTTTATTTATAGTTAATTTTGTTATTTATAGTTTAAAGATTTATGGCGCTTTTTATTCCGGCAATTTGAACCTTTGACTGGATCGCGTCGAAGACTCATCGGCTAGTCAGCTAAACGACCTTCTGGCCACCTGTGGCATGCTTTGTCACTTAACCTTGCCGACGCACAACATGGGCGAACTGCTGAACGTTCTCATCACGCGTGCTGACCTTCGAAGTCCGCCAGTCGACATCATCGAGACCGTAATACCCGACCATCGACTACATCGGTGGACGGTGCCATGCGTGCGCCCGGTGCCAGCGTACAAGACCGTTATCTGTCGTCCGTGGCGCGGTCTCGATGACGATGTCTTACGCGAAAAGCTGCAGTCGTCCCGACTATGTCTGCCTGACTCATGGTTGGCACTATCAGTCAACGAATGAGGTCACCGAGTGCACAGTTCGAATACCCCAACGAATCTCCGACCCATGTTTCGATGACGAATGTCGAGTCTCGAAGCGGGGGATTCGACTGCTCCAGCGGGCTGTCAACCGGGCGAACAGATGCGGCAATCCTGCTGCTGCCGCTGATATGGCTTTCACCTGGCGAGATGCGCGGCGCAATTATGTCGACCTTCTTCGTTATAAAAGAGAGTCATTTTTGTGCCAGAGAGTTGGCGCGCAACGCAGCGATCCTCGAGCGTTGTTGCGTTCGCTGGATAAACTCATGGGAAGAGGTCACACAGAGGCTTTGGGTGACGTAAGCGTGATGGAATTCGAAGCGGTTAAATTTCTGCTGTGCGAGCAACGTCGGCCGATGCTCCGCCGGCAGCATTTGCCCGTGCCCGTTCGACTGCGTGCTCCAAGTATTCACTCGAGTCACAGCTGACGGCGTCATCGCTGTAGTGCGCGCGCTGCCCAACAAGCAGTGTGCTAGCGATCCGCGGCCGACGTCGTTACTTAATNAGACCTTGACGTTTCCGAGCGTTGCAAACTATGACGCCTTCAAGAACAGACTAGATTTCATGGAACGCGTTGCAGTATGAACCCCTTCAAGAACAGACAAGACGAAGCTATGCAGGAGCATATGTTCAGTCTTAAAATGCCTAGCAACTTACGGACCAGCCTATACTTTCAAAAAAGTTAAGAGATCGTAAGTTCATCAGCCAATTATTGACGGCCTTTCAAGCAAAATCCACCAATCATAGATAAGAAAATAGAGCGTGAGTACTAACGTTCACTTAGCGAGTTTTGAAAGTATGGCCCCAGGCAATAAGTCCAGCAGCTATCTCAATCAATCGTCCGTTATGGAATGATAGGGTTCCAAAGGCCGGATCCCTTGTGAATCAAGTCACGAAAAGTGCAAGAATCGGCAACAGGCCATGGGCCTATTTCTTCAGTGCCGATACTTCCATTCTAATAAGTTTTCCTTCAATAAACATATTAACTACGTCTGTTAGGGGCTGAGTAAAGCCCACAGAGTTTTACATGCTCTATCAAGTGTTTTACCTTTTTCCACCGTTAAGAACGCTTTTCTACTCATTGTCCGTTTCTAAACTATCAAGCACATTGGTAAATTGGGGTGGGTACCTTATAATTCAAAGAAACGGGTCATCATTTCATTAATAAGTCTTTGCGTACAATATTTCGGGTTAGGTATGATGAAAACAATATCCCATTGACTCGTACTAATGTATTATATAAGCAGTCGAAAATTTTAAAACTTGACGATATGTACAAATTTCAGCTTTTAAAATTAATGAATAGGCACTTTTCCATGACGAACGTCTTTTAAATTCTGCATTCGCCTCTCTTTTTCCTCAACAATCACATGACACCAGGGGCATGAGCTTAACTTATCCCCAGTTTGGTTAGAAATTGAAAGAAACGGTACCGTGTTTAATTGTGTAAAATATTTCAATGAATTGCCTGATGACTTTGAAATAGATTGTTCTAAATTCATTTTAATGACTAAATTCTGCGATTTTACTCTTATCCAGTATTAATTTGACTTTGATTATCGTGTAAGGTTTAAGTAATTGCCTTTCTTAATAAGATTTTCGATGAATATTATGATGTAGGCGAACATTGTTTTGACTTTTTGTCTTAGTTGTATCTGTCTTTTAGGTAGGGTTGTTATTGCCTTCGTTCTGTTCATTTTAGTTGCCACGCTGCTTATTCTTTTATCAGTTCCATTAAGGGTTAGTTTATAGGGATTTTTTTCACTTTAGTCACTTTCTGTTCCCTATTGACTTATCTCATTATAATTATATGTTATTGTTCTATTGACAGGAATAACGCCTATATCGCCTGTGAAACTTTTTAGCATATATAGGCGTTCACAAGGAAGCCTTTTGTATTTTTTTCTTCTTCAAATATTCTATGTCATCTTGTTTTTTAATTTATCTGGAGCTCCTGCGTGAATAAAGAATTCTGATTTCAATGTTTTTAACACGTTAATTTTGCCAAAAGTCACTTTATTTTAGCTCAAAATTTAGAGAAAAACATTAATTAGCCCTTTTAAAGAGAAGCGACCATACTTTTTTTATTTTTATTTTAACATTTTTAACAAGTAAATTTAGACAAAATGCACATTAATTTTGCTCAAAATTTAGAGAAAATGATGCCCTTTTTTAAGTTTATTTACTATGTATTTTTAATTTCGATGTTAATATTTTCATCAGGTAAATTTAGTCAAAACTCACATTATTTTAGGGCAAAATTTAAAGAAAATAATGCCTTTTTTTAAAGCAAATAAACCATGTATTTTTAATTTTGATTTTAATATTTTTAACGCGTAACTTTAGCCAAACGGAAATTATTTTAGCTTAAAATTTAGAGAAAATAATGCCCTTTTTAAGCATATTGACTATGTATTTTTAACATTGATTTTAATATTTATACCGCGTAATTTCAGCAAAAACGCACATTACTTAAGTTCAAAATTAGAAGAAACTAATGCCGTTTTCAAGTAAATTGACCATGTATTTTAAATTTTTATCTCAATATTTTTAGCATTTAAATTTTGCCCAAACGAAAATTATTTTAAATCAAAATTTCAAAAAAATAATGCCCTTTTACAGTAAATTGACCAGGTTTTTTTGATTTTGATTTAAAAATTTTTAAAACATAAATTTAATATAAACGTATATTTTTGCTCAAAATGTTAAGAAAATTATGCCCTTTTTAATTAAGTAAATTGACAATGCATTTTTAATTTCGGTTTTTATATTAGCTATCAGGTAAATTTAGCTAAAACGCACGATATTTTAGTCAAAAAATTAGAGAAAATAATGTCCTTTTTAAGCAAACTGTCTATGTGTTTTTCAATTTTGATGTTGATATTTTTAACACGTAAATTTAGCCAAAACACATATTATTCTAGTTCAAGATGCAATGAAAATAATGCCCTTTTTAAGTGAATTGTATATATATTTTAATTTCGATTATGAAATACTTAATACATAAATTTAGCCAAATCGCACACTATTTTAGCTCAAAATTCAGAGAAAATTATATTCATTTCAAGTTAATTTACTAAGTATTTTTAATTTTTATTTAAATATTTTTAACATGTAAATTTAGGCAAACGCAAATTATTTTAGCACAAAATTTTGAGAAAATAATGCCCTCCTTAAGTAAATTGTCCATGTATTTTTAAGATTGATTTTAATATATCCAACACGTAAATTTAGCTAACACTCACAATATTTTAGTTAAAAATTTTAAGAAAATAATGTCCTCTTAAAGTCAATTGATCATGTATATTTAATTTTGATTTTACTCCTTTTACAAAAGCGCACATTAATTTAGCTTGTAATTTATAGAAAATAATGCCCTTTTTAAGTATACTGTACATGCATTTTAAATTTGTGTTCAACATTTTTAACACGTAAATTTAGCCGAAACGGACATTATTTTAACTCAAAATTTAGAGAAAATAATGCCATTTTGAAATAAATTTACTATGTACTTATATTTTGATTTTAATATTTTTATCATGTAAATTTAGCCTTAACGCACATTATTTCATCTCAAAATTTAGAGAAAATAATGCCCTTTTTAAGTAAATTGAGTATGCATTTTTAATTTTGATTTAAATATTTCAATAAGAAAATTCAGACTTAACGCACATCATTTTGCTCAAAATTAAAGAAAATAATGCCCTTTTTATGTACATTGACTATGTATTTATAATTTTGATAGTCAACAGCAGAGGCGTGCTCCTTACCAATCTTGACATTGGCGCCCGAACCAACATCTTTGAGCTGCTATGTGGTAGAGCCACCTGCGCCTCGTTTACGGGAGTTGCAGTCACCATCTATCGTCATGAATCGGTTGCTGCTACACGCGAGTTTTTCGTAGAATTGTGAGATGTCTTCACCAGCGTCATTGGCTACGTTCTTGAGGAAAGAGATATGAAAGACCATTCGAAGCACGTCAGTGGTGGTCTCCGATAGGCATCCCGATATCCCAAATCCGGCATGTTGAGGCAGGAACGCAGCCGTGCACAACCAAAGTTGTGCACCAATCAGCTCTGAAAGGAACGCCTAGCATATTTCCATATGACCATCAATCTGCCGCGGATTAAACTATTCGTAAGGAACCAGTCCATGACATCATCTTGCTTTAAATTTCAGGAGCTTTACGCCACCATATTTTGAAGCAAATAGCTCAGAGTGTGATAATCGTCCACCACTGAGCGTTACATCGAATCATTTTATACCCTAACTTCAGCTTGAACTGTAAAGAGCCAACAACGAACTGCGACGAATCAGGCCAGCTCGCCAGTGAAACTGCATGAATACTGCCGTATACCACCAGACGGACACCTTTAGCTCACTGCATCTGGATTTTGGTTTTAGATAGCATTGTTCTGTTCCAAAATTTATCGTCCTATGACGAGTGGCCGTTCGACCATAGGCCGATTCGACACAGGGGACCGATACTATGACGGGTCGGTGGCNGCAGGAGAATTTAAAATACCTTCATAGTAGGATGCAAGAGCCTCAACTTTGGAGTGCGCATCAGAGAGGACTGCATTATTTGAGATAAAGGGCTGTGATTTCCGGCAGAATGGAATTTGTAAGCCTTTTACACGTTTCCATAGTAGTTTTAGAGGAGTCACGCTTGGCCTGCTACACTTCCCATTTGACGTTTGCTTCCGAACGTTTGAAGGCTATGAGAGCAGCGGGAGATGGCTGGGAGAGGAGAGTTTTCTTTGCAGCTTTTCTGGCAGCAACTGCCTCTGCACATTTCAGTGTCCACCAGGGTTTACTGTATTTTTGGTGTTACTATTTCTCTTGTCAGTGAAAAGACCTCTGCACTGGCTGCCACAATATAGCCTGCAAATGCGGTGCAACTTTTCTCCAATTCTGGCAATGGCAGCCCATCTCTTTGGCGAACTTTGGTTGACCGCTCACCCCATGACTCGTCCACAAACTTCGAGGATTAGCGAACTTTGAATTGAATAGTAGATGGCTCTATTCCAACACAGGTGAAAATTATGTAATGATCGCTGCCCAGGTCATCTCCGAAGTGCACTGATGATATTAGTTTTAAATGGGATAAAATAAAAGATAAATCCAGTGTTGAGAATGAATTGTGATAGATGCTATAGAATGTGGGCAGAGATGTTGGAGTTAGTAAACACAGAGAAGGATCACTCAGTAGCACATCCTCTATATTCTTACCAGTTATGTTGGATGTCTTGTTTGGTTCCCATATTTGACTGTGGGCACTAAAATCACCAACTATGAGCCGTGATGGCTCCGTTTGCGAAAAGTAATGGTTTAGTTCTGCTGCAGATATATTCTGACAAGGGTTGTACACATTGATAATAGAGAATGGCACATTTGTATTTTTCAGAAAAAGTTTGACCCCACATACCTCCAAAATCCCCTGTGGATAAGGCTGCAAATTCAAACTCAGGAGAGATACATCACTTCTTACTAAAATTGCAAGGCCCCACCAGCATGTGTAGCAGCTCTATGCATGTAAATTGGAGTGTAATTACCAAATGAAGGCTCATAGTCAGCAGATAACCAAGTCTCTGAGAGGCAGGCAACATTTGGTTTATTAGTATACAAATACATATTAAAATTTCTTAATGTGTTCCGCAGACTGTGACAATTCCATTGCATTATTTTTAGCTCCATGTTGATTGTGATTTTTCTGGATTCAGTATTGATGAAGTGATTGAATCTTTACAAGTGGTTTCCAGTGATTTCCCTGTTACTGTCTTGCGTACTGTATCAGACACCAGTTTCTTCCTCCAGTGGTGCCCACCAGTGATTGGGGAGGGATTCAACTGAACATTTCCAGTGCATGTGTCCATTACTGTCTCTACAGCTAAGGTTAGAGTGAGGAGCACCGGCGGACCTCAAAGGCAAAGGATTAGTATCGCACAACTGGCACAGCTGTTGCAGCTACATAGGATGAGGCCATGTTGTGAGAGATGGTCTCTGGTGGCTGAATATTACTAAATGTTTCTGCAGCTAGTTTTGAGATGGTTTTCTTTGCAGTGATTATGTCTGGGTAGTGAAAAAGAAACAGGACTCGTGACAAGAGGTCAATTAGCTGGGATAGTGAAACATTAGGCTCTACAGGTTGCTAGGCAGATATTGCAGTTTGAGTACCAACAAAATGCTTAATAATTTGAGTCTGCACTGGAAGGGGGGCATTAAAGTTATTTTGCACATTCCAGTTTCCACTTCTGGTGCAAGAAGGGGGTAGTTGTGGGAATCTTATGTTCAGCATATTGTTTGTATTATTGGAGTAAGGTGGAGTTGGTTTTTTGTTATTCATCTGCTCAGATTGAGCACGCTTTACTGCATCTCTACGAGAGTAAATACCGTTCTGGTTCTTACCACAGCGCTGGCCGCTTCATTTTTGGGCATCCACCATAGTTGGCCGTATGAGCACCACCGCAGTTGCAGCACCTTGGTACTACTGTATATGTTCAATCCATAACTGCATGGCCACCTCCACATGCTACACAACGGGGAGGGCTATTACATGTAGGAGCACTGCTGCCAAATCTCTGGCACCTAAAACATTGCCAGGGCTTGCAAGCCCACAAATATGTGTACTTCAAAACATTGGTATCCAATACTCACATGTGAAGGCAAGGTGCTGCTTTGAAAAGTAACCTTGAACAAAGAGGTCATGAAGGGCTCTCGTCTTTTGAAAATTCTTTCAGCAGTGGCTCCCTGATATCCTTCAGAGGCCAGGGCTTGTGAAAGTTCTTCGTTGGTGACTCCTTAGCCAAAGGGACCAATAACTCCTACAGATGTTGTTTGGTTTGCCGGAAGTCTACATTTGACCTTCCACGGCCCCAGGCTCTCTATTTCTAAAAGGGATTAGAATTATCTGAAGATTTCATGGCAATGACTAGTAAATTTCGAGCAGTATTCTTTGACATGCTTGCAATGTCAGTCTTCCCAAATAGAGAGTTAGCCAAGGCTTTACTAAGAGCCAGGTCATTTGAAAGAAATCTTGTCACATCAAGTGGAGTATCTCCACTATCATGTTGTGGAACTGGTTCAACAATAATTATTGGATTATGCATTGACATAGGGTGTACATCAATGTCAGCATATTTCTTTGACCTGTAGTAGTGAGTGAGTCTGAGTCCGAATCATCATCGTAGGGCTAATTGGGGCATGAGCTCTTAAATCCCTCAAAGTTGGAATGATTAATGTTTGTTGCAGAATGATTTAAAATAGGTACAGGCTCTGAAGATTCAGTAGCAATTGAGCAGGCAGGTTAGCTATTGGAGCTTGGAAGAAGAGGCAGACTAGGTTGAATTGTCTAGGAGCTAGGAGCTTTGGCTTAGCAAAGACAGTTCTGGAAGAGATGGATGGTCATTGGGACTTCCTGTTGCAGAGTTAAGTGAGAGCTGGCTTTGGTCAAGCAGGTCAGATTGGATTCTTTTACAGAGTGATGAGGTTGAGGTGACTCACTTTGTCTCCTCTTTCTATTCTTACCCATCGTGCCAGGCAAGGCTGACATGGGGCAGGTGCCTCTCTCCTTTTCACAATAGTAATAACAAATTAAAAGTTCTGAATCCTTATTACTTGATCAGTGAAAATTTTGAGGTCTTGAAATGCAGAGTTCGACACAAACGTTCACAGTCACTGCAAGCGCCAACCCGTCGCACATCCGATGTCCACCGCAGCTCAAACCGGAATTCATCGACGCTTCTCAAACCGCAAAAAATTTCGAGTTACCCAGAACGCACATGTCCGTGTATGCGGATACTAAAAAATATTAAAACTAAAACTGATAATAATGCTAATGCTGGGATTTATCCCAGCACAGAATAATTGAAGCCCCGAAGACCGTGTTGTCATGTGGTCTAGTGTAAACGCTGAGGTGTGTTGCACACGCATTCTACCAGGCGTGGTGTAAAGCCGTTTTACCATCCAATGTTATGTGAACTGACGAATTCATCATTGATGGTCGACGTGATGGCTAGCTTGACTTTTCGCTGTTGTGATCTAGGCAAATACTCCGTCAAATGCCAAATTCACTGTTTCCCAGATGACAAATTCTGAATCACTTATCCAATAGATTTTGATATTCGTACCTAATAGTGTGGCGTGTGCATCATGATTAGTAAATGTTCTGATTTCAAATTGCACTAACTTCTTCACGTTTCATTACGATGTACGAGGGGCATCAAGAAAGTAGTACCCATTTGGGAATTGAACAAAAAGAAGTAAATATTAACAAATGTAAACATTTTTATTGAAAAGAACATGTATTACATTACTTCTCTACACAATCTCCGGACAAATTTATGCATTTGTCGTATCGTGTCACAATTTTTGTATACCAGTGTCATATTCCTCCGCCGCCAGTGTACTAAGATACGCAGTTACGTGTTCTTTCAGTTCTTCGTAGTTTTGAAACTTTGTCCCTTCCATGAAGTCCTTGGGTTTCGTAAACAGATGAAAATATGAAGTAGCCAAGTCCGGACTATAGGGTGGAGGGTCGAAAATTTCCCACTTGAATTTTTGGAGAAGTTGTTGTGTTATCCGAGCCGAATGCGGCCTGGCATTATCGTGCAGGAGAATGACGCCAGTAGACAACAGACAACTTGGCTCCTTCAGATTTTCATCTGTTTGCCAAACTCAAGGACTTCGTGGCAGGGACAAAGTTTCAAAATGACGAAGAACTGAAAGAACACGTGACTTAAAGAACACGTGACACTGGCGGCGGAGGAATATGACACTGGTATACAAAAACTCGTGACACGATACCAGAGATGCTTAAATTTGTCCGGAGACTGTGTAGAGAGTAGTGTAATACATGTTCTTTTTTATAAAGATGTTTACATTTGTTAATATTTACTTCCTTTTGTTCAATTCCCAAACGGGTACTACTTTACGGATGCCTCTCGTATATTAAACTCTCTTTACCTGAATATGGTGAACTCGTGACCACATTAGTCATCCCTGTCAAGAATTATTCCCAATGACAACATAACAAGATTTTGCTTACGAAATGTAGCGATCAAAAATGGAAGTTTCAACAATTTAAAGTCACAATGTGAACACTTAAGATCAAAACACCGTGTCTATTGACACTCGTTGTCAAGGGATTTTATAACTATTTTATATTAATAATCTGAAAAGTTTTGGCTAAAGCGGGTTAATTTCTGAGGTGTCGGCAACAGCCCTCAGACCGCGGTCCTGACGGAGGAGTCAGCAGTCATGAAGTGAACCTGGCAACCGCACGTCGCGGTCCTGACGAAGACGTCAGCAGTCATGAAGTGAACCTGGCAACCGCACGACGCGTAGAACTAATATTATGTATATCATATCCCGCTACCTAGAACTAATTTTATGTTCACCATATTAATATTAATACTTACCATATTAGGTTTATCATATTAAATAATTATAATATCATCATAAGAATAGTTCAGAGAAAGCAGTTCAGTCGATGGCAATATCTCACTTCCGCCACGCCTTGCTCCTTCATAGCCGCCTAAAACTGTAGCGTACTATTTGCCTCCTGACATCGAGCGGACAACATCTCGCGTAAGCTCTCTAACTTAGAAACTCTGCCCTAAGATTAGCTCTTATTCAGTGTGTTAAGTGCAAGTGTAAAGTTAGTCAGAGACATTGTAAGTTTTTGAGTGATTAATTTCTGTCATGCCATATAACTCACGTGACATATAGCTCACGTGACATATAGCTCACTTGAGAAATGGTGTTGTAAATCGTGTATTAACATTGCCCTATTTCGCAGTGTCCTCACATCGGCTAACATTTGGCCCCTGCAACGTGCAAACTCCCATCGCTGTCAGCATCTCTGTCGGCATCTCTGTCAGCATCTCTGTCGGCATCTCGGTCGGCATCTCTGTCAGCGTATTATTGCCGGGTCTATCCGCATCTCTGTCAGCTTTTCAGCCAGCATCTCTGCCAGCGGACTGACGCCATCTTCCTCTGCGCGCCGACGCCATCTTCATCTGCGTGCCGACGCCTCCCCACGTGCATTCAGTGAATTTTCCCCACGTGCATTCAATGACTTTCCTCACGTACATTTAGTGAATTTTCTCCACGGGCATTTAGTGACACTAAAGCGTGCTTACAGTGAACATCTCCACATGGAGATCTCCAGAGATCTCTACATCTCCACGGGTGAACATCTCTACGTGCCCACACACCACGTGTTACGGGTAATGTCTTCTCGTGATTCGGCATCGCTCAATCATCTCTGTCTGTGCAACGACTCCACGACGTCTCACTACGCAACCACATGCATCACCTCGACCTTCACCCCTGGCCTGGCCTTCCGGTTCCTCCTGGATCGTCACATTGAGCCGGTCACGTGAGCTAAAATGATAAATTGACATTATCAAATTGTTGTGTGTTTACTTCTCCCGACTAGTTTCGTCTTGCCGCACCTAAACCCTTCCATCTGAATTTAGTAAATGATATAACTTGTATTGGTCTCAAATAATCCTCTGATACGAGTCTAATACGATATATATGGTTAGGTAACGTAAATAAACCCCCATATATTTTTGGTGACCCAGCCTTATTTCAAACCCATACCTTGCCACCTCATTGGTGTTAATTACCCCGCTTCATTCAAACCCATACCTTGCTAACTAATTGTTGAGAATATTTCCCATTGCTATTATAATTGGCCATATAACTAATAACTCAACTCGATTCGAATTCACGAATCAACGGATAAAATTCTTGTTTAAATTGTTCAAGCTAACTCAAGCTCTGTCATAGGCTTCTTGCATGCTTTGATGGCGGATGAAATTGGTCGTGCATAGCTTGCATAGTCTCAGATTTTCAAGTCCTAAACCTTTCTTTTACAGCTATTACCAAAATTTTGTCTAATCTAATAGTGTCTAATCTAACCGTGTCTAATCTAGCATTATAGAGATGAATTGAGACAGATATTGATGGTTTTAGAAAAAGGTATATAAGTAAATAAATTTTCTACATCAAAAGAGGCCATAGTCAATTCCTGAACATTGTGAAAACTCTTCAGGCGATCTACAAACATGTAAGTTTTTTCCACAGAGTATTTGTTGGAAATTAAACAGTTCAAAAGTGGAATAAAAAATTTTGTAAGTTTGAAAGTAGGATTATTATAAGCAGCAAAATTGGGCAGAAATGACATTTCAAATTCAAATCTGGTTTATGAATTTTGGGCAAACCATACAAAATACCGGGGACAGAGCCATAGACATGAAGTTGAAAGTAAGTTTCAAATGATAGTATAGCAAAATCTCAAGTTTTGTAGTAAATTATTAATTTTGTCCTCTATCTTCAAAACTATTTTAGCAATTGGCTCAGTAATTTCTTTAAATTTAAAAGGGTCGGTAGTAAGATTAGTAAGGCTACTGTTATAGTGATTGCGATCAACTAATACTACTCCTTCGCCCTTATCTGGCTTACAAATATTAAGGTCCTTATTTTTGGCAAGGTCTTTTTAATAAAAGGAATTCAAGCGGCTAAAAAACAGATGAGAAAATTTGAATAATTTAAAACCATGAAAATGAAGGTAAGCTAAACTTTACTTTGAAAATTGACAATAAATTCCTGAGGGTTGGTAATGAAAACATTTTTTTATGTTAAGAGCAAGTTTTTCAGAAGCTTGAAAGCCAGATAAGGGCAAAGGAGTAGTATAAGTTGATTGTAATTGCTATAATTGTTATTCTTATCACCGACACTTCTAAATTTAAAGAATTAACTGAGCCAATTGCTAAAATAGTTATGATAGAGGACAAAATTGATAATGTACTCTGAAAAATTAAAGATTTTGCTATACTATCATATGAAACTTACTTTCAACTTCATGTCTTTGGCTCTGGCCCTGGTATTTTGTATGGTTTGCCCAAAATTCATAAACCAGATTTCAATGTGGAATTTCAATTCCGCTCAATTTTTGCTGCTTATAATACTCATAGTTTCAAACTTGCAAAATTTTCAGTTCTGCTTTTGAACTGTCTTATAACCAACCAATATACTGTGAACATCAGTTACATGTTTGTAGATAACCTGAAGAGTTTTACCAATGTTCAGGAATTGACTATGGCCTCTCTTGATATGGAAAATTTATTTACTAATATACCTTTTTCTGTTTCAATTCATTGTATAAAGATGTCAATGACCTTGTCAAGTGTTTCAACCACAATTTTTTCAAATCTCTCCTTGAATTATCTGTGATAAACTCAATTTTTGTATTTTTTGGCAAGCTTTACAGACAAAATGACAGTTTAGGCTGGGGCTGTTGGCCCTACCCATTCCAATATTTTCATGTGTTTTGAGTAGGCTACATGTTTGTCCATTTATCTGCTTTATTTCAAGCCAATTTTGTGATATGTTGTGATATGTGTGGATATGTTGAGGATACTTTTTTTTTATTTCCAAGCATCCTTCTCATGCTGTCTCTTATACACATCTAGATGTGTATAAGAGACAGGTGTAAGCCCTAACATAGAAACTCTGCCTTAGAATAGCTCTTACTCAGTGTTAAAACTTAAGTGTAAGAGTAAAGTCATGTCAGAGACATTGCAAGTTTCTAAATAATCAAATATTCATTATAACGTAGCTCACGTGACTTATAGCTCATTTGTGGAATGTGTGGTAAATCGTGTATAAACATTGCAATATTTCGCAGTGGCCCCTGCAACGCAACCTGCACCCTGCAGCCTGTAACCTACAACCTGCAACCTGCAGCCTGTAACCTCGGCTGTTAGCCAGCATCTTCCCGCCAAGAGCACGACGCCATCTTGCCGCGCTGCGTGCCTGCGCCTTCCCTGCTTGCCGACGCTTCTCCGCGAACATTCAGCGAACTCATTCAGTGAACTTTCGCTAGACATATTCTGTGAGGTACATCAACGTACGTTCAGTGAATTTCGTACACGTGCACTTAGTAATCTTGCCTTACGTTCGTTCAGTAAATTTCGTACACGTGCATTCAGTGATCTTTCTCTACGCACATTCAGTGAATTTGTACACATGCATCGAATGAACTTTCTCTACATACATTCTGTGAATATGTTCATGTGCGCTCTGTGAACTATCTACACGCACGTTCAGTTAATTTCATCCAACTCACAACGTGTTTCGGACAACGTCCACAACGTCTCACCACGCAACCACGCGTATATCCATTCACCACGCCACCACGCGTATATCCACTCGCCACGCAACCACGGTGGCACGTCGACCTGCACCTATGGCCTGGCCTACCAATTCCTCCTGGATCATCACATCGAACAGGTCACGTGAGCTAAGCGAATAAATGCAAAATCAATTTATTGTGTGCTCATTATTTCGATCAGTTTCAGCCTGCCGCTCTTTGCCCCTTCTATCTGAATTTAGTAGATGATGCAAGTTCTGTTAGCCTTAAATAATCCTCTGATACGAGTCTAAAATACATATATATGGATAAATAAATAAATTTACCCCATAAGTAGGCTAATCTTTGCCTGTGAGACAAAATTCGCACCACACTGATTCTCTAGCTGATTGATGCTCTGCAGATAACTTGACTTGTTGGGCCCCATAAGAGGTTCTAACCCGCAAAGCTACACCTCTACTGCACTGCTCTTCATTCAAGTTATGAAAACAGTCCAAACCTGGCTGAAATTCAACAGAAGCAACTTACAATTCCCTCCCGTGATTTTTGGGGAGTGTTTCTGTAATACCAATAATGTCTATGCATCATCTCCCGTGCACCAAATCAGCCATCGATGAATGCTGTTTCAATTTGGCTTCCCCCCAATACAGCTCCAAGCTTCTCCCCGAGTGTTGCATAGTTGAGCTAATTGCACGGAGTTGCATGTTCGAGGCCAGCATCGCCCAATACAGTTATCACGTTCATTTTCCTGCCCGTGCGCATACATGCTACTACTGAGTAGATTAGCATTTGAACTAAAGTGCTTGGAGCCATAGACGATGTAAGGCACTGTTTCAGCCAGTTAGTCTTCACGGAATTTACATCCCAGCATGCTTCTTCCTCCGCAATTACCCCGATTCTCCACCCAATCAAACGTATCCGGACCCAACCTAACCTAATTGGGATGCATGCCAGAGGCCAGCATTGCCCAAAACCAGCATATTTTTCATCCTCCTTTCTGTGCATAAGCCTGCTAAAGGGCAGAGTAGACCAAGGGATTATATGTTAAAAGCCAAAGGTACAAATCCCCTTCATGGAAATTGACCAGCGAGCTAATGAGAAGTAAGCCACCAATACAATCGGTCTACGCCGTATTTAAAACCGCCCAACAGCTCTATCCCATGCCGTCTAACCTCCTCACGATTTTCGGTAAGCAACTCCCTACGCCATACCGCTGTTGATACACAGCCAGCACCTGTCTCTTATACACATCTAGATGTGTATAAGAGACAGCACTAGAGNGTGATGTACCTCCATTTGATTCAAGGACGAATGTTCGAATGCGCCTAGGAGACAGGCCTGGGGTATATTCACCAGAAAGACAACCATTGCATCAGCATGAAAGCAAATCATCACATCACAGCCGAGACGCACCAACTGGACTACATGGCCACTTGAGGGAAGATGAACGTTACATAAATGACATTAGAAGAGATATAAACTATCCCAATCAACGATATCAAAATGACCCAATTGAAGGTACTTGTGATTCTGCTGTCTCTTATACACATCTAGATGTGTATAAGAGACAGGGATAACAGCATGTGTAAGAAGTGATGGTATGGGTTATAAAGCATTGGAGAACAACATATTGACCGTTAACTATGTGGAGGAGCAGCTTGTGTGCTGAAGTGAGAAAAGAGTTTAAAGTTCGTGTGGTGAGATAGGTCAATTGACTACAGCTGCTTAGGTGCCCGGATGATAATATCTATAGCATTTAGATGGTTGATGTTGGCTCCAGGGCTGATTTGTGCGTTAATTTGCTGGTCTACGGCTGCGCAACCACCTAATTGACTATAGCAAGGTGGAGAAGCGCGCCATGTTAGGAACTGGAGCCAACAGCTGAGAGCCCAAATCTGGCATGTTGCGAGTGTTTCCGGCATGAAGATTTCTGGTCGGAGATAAATGCTGAAATTTGGTATACATCTGGTATGTTCGAACTTCATACATAGTATCTGCATAAGTTCCGCCTCTGATATTAAAACTGTAGTGAACGTTTCATAAATATTGTTTCATTTGACATTATCTTAACTTTGGGACGTTTCAGGATAAGTGTAATCGCACATAAGTATCTTGCGCACCCGGGTATAGGTTCTTTCAAAATAAAAAAAATTCTCAAATCGAAAAGGGTAATGAAGTTTACTTAAATCACAATCCAGCGTTTTGCGGACTGCAACAAAAGCATGTCAGACGTAGCTCGAACTCGCAGGGATGCATGCCAGAGGCCAGCATTGCCCAAGACCAGCATATATTTCATCCTCCTTTCCGTGCGTAAGCCTGCTAAAAGGCAAAGTAGACTAAGGGTAAGGGATTATATGTTAAAAGACAAAGGTACAATACGCCGTATTTAAAACTGCCCAACAGCTCTATCTCATGCCGTCCAACCTCCTCACGATTTTCGGTGAGCAACTCCCTACGCCATACCGCTGTTGATACACAGCCAGCACTCCAGAGTCCGGCCCGTCCGTTCGTCGCAGCTGTTTTCCCCCAGCATAACTCTACCTGCACGCTTACCCCGTCTCCCCGCCTTTTTTCACCGACTGCCGGACGGCTTTTCTTAGTTTCTGCTCACTTGACTGCATTACACTATGAAAAGAGGATCTATACGTGTTGTAACCTAACCTAATTCGGAATTTCGGATAAGCATCAAAGGTCTGTGAGAAAAGCCTCCAGTTAGCCATGCGATAATGGTGGAGAGTTGGGGTAAGTGTGGGGGGAAGAAGATGCTGGGGGATAGTAAGGCAGGGAAACAGTGATGTGGGGTTAACGTCTTGCGGAGTAAGTAAGGTGATGACGCATTACCGTTTGGTACAGTTCACATTTGTGGCAATGCAGTGTGGTCAGCGCCTCAGCGGACACTTAGGATAACAGCATGTGTAAGAAGTGATGGTATGGGTTATAAAGAATTGGAGAACAACATATGGATCGTTAACTATGTGGAGTAGCAGCTTGTGTGCTGAAGCAGTGTTGGTTTAAAGTTCGTGTGGTGAGATAGGTCAATTGACTACATCTGCTTAGGTGCCAGGATGACAATATCTATAGCATTTAGATGGTTGATGTTGGCTCCAGGGCTGATTTAAGGCTAAGCGTTAATTTGCTGGTCTATGGCTGCGCACCCCACTCGCATACCGCTGTTCGACTCATCTGACTCATTTGAGTGGTTACTGGTTACCCTTGCTTGTAAACATGAGAGCAATGAAGCTCGGATGATAGGGTGAGATCTAATAATAATAAGATTATTAGTCTTCGTTGTATCATATGTAGAAAATTGCGAAACTATATATGTCAGGATTTTCACCTATTGTCCCGCATCACGCAAGATCTGAAAATAAGGCTGGTTTTGTTTGAGTTTGAATGCCATGTGATGATCAATGATGTGACGAGTGACAACACTCACGACAGTGACTATTAGTGTACCTATATTTCTTTAGCAGATCTAAAAAATCTTTCATATTGAGCTGGTGTCTGGTATTAATATATTTATCTGGTATTTTTTCTGAAATCTGATATATTTAAAGCCTAAACTCTAAAGGGTTGCATGTTGCAAAAAAAAAACAAGATATTTTCCAATCCAAGCCCCAATGTGAATGTGCCAAACCCTGAGTTTTATTTAAAAAAAATTGGCAAAATGGTTTATTACTATTTCTCTATAATTGGTTTCAACTTCCTGTAGACTGGGCAGGGGTAGCCTGACTAGCCTCAAGGGGAATTTCACTGTCAGGGTCTGAGTCTTCAACAAGTAACAGTGGAAAATTGCGAAACTATATATGTCAGTTGTCAGGATTGTCATCTATTGTCCCGCATAACGCAAGATCTGAAAATAAGGTTGGTTATGTTTGAGTTTGAATGCCATGTGATGATCAATGATGTGATGACAGTGACTAGCTATTAGTGTAGTATATTTCTTTAGCAGATTTCAAAAAATCTGTTATATTGAGCTGGTGTCTGATATTGAGATATTTATCTGGTATATTTTCTGAAATCTAATATATTTAAAGGGTTGCATGTTGCAAAAAAACGAGATATTTTCCAAGCCCCAATGTGCCAAGATTTCATTAAAAACCCTGGGTTTTATTTAAAAAAAAATGGCAACATGGTTTATTACTATTTCCCTATAATTGGTTTCAACTTCCTGTAGTAGAATTTATGATCTTAACCCATGGCATTATATCATAACCATGTCTAATAATTTGTTTCAGATAATTATTAAATATTTTTAAACAACTTGCGCATTCAAGAAGATGCATGATTCTAGTATATTTATAGCTTTGCAGAATGAGAATGGCACGTGTTAGTAGATACTCAGATACTGAGAATCTACATTTTGGCTCAGAGCCTCAGTAGATACTGAGCCCAGTGAGCCAAAAAGTGTTCTGAATTTGAAACTGTTGAAAGGGAATGAAGCAAAATCTGAAATGGTAAAACAGAAGGGTGCACATTGTAATGATAAGTTTATTCAGAAATAGATCAGCTACTGGCTAAGAAGTCATCTCCTAGAGTGTGAAAATTTCATAGGGTATAGCTATGTAGGGTAAGAGATAGGTAGTGCACAAAAATT